GGAAAAGACAAACCAGATTGCTGCGCCCATGTCAGAATAGGGGGGAGAGAGTCGGGGAGAATGGTGAAGAGAGGATCTGCCGGGCGGTCAGTCCCGGATAAAGGATTAAGTCAATGCAACGTAAGGTCTGTGGATTTTGTGGAGAGTCCACGTAGGACATGTAGTATGCGTCAGTCCATCCTGTCTGACGTCCTGTCCGCCATGGCCTGTCTCATGGAACGGACAGACTCAACAGCCGTCCTGTCTCACAGATCAGTGGATCGTCGGTCCATGAACCCTAGACCCTAAACCCTGGACCGACTTGCACTTCTGACACCTGCATCGTGCGAGCTTGGATGGCTTTCAGATTCCTGTAGTTCCAGAAGCTTCTCCGTAATTGGAGTGCGTCGTGCGAAGGCCATGCTTCTGGACAGAGTGTTGATTCATTCTTTTGTCGGCGCGCCTCTCACCGGCCTTCTCGTGACGAGGAGGAACCCCAAATGGAAGAGAATATGTGCGTGAGATGTGCACACGCGCTCACGTAGCCTGGATGGAAACAGATCTGGGGAAACAGACAGCAGATCCACCTCGTCTGTCTGTCTGTCTGTGTTTGTGTTCAGGCTGGTACGCGTCATTCATCGTCGTCATCGCCTTCTTTCTAGTCGAGGTAAGCCGCCAGGACGCAGCCATGGTCAGAGGATGCCGCGCATCTGAGAGATCTGGACGTTTGTGTGCCTGTGCGTACGTGCCTTCAGTATTCGTATCGCGAGAAGAACTTTTACGAGTGGTTCGAGGCGTCGCCCACATCTGACCGCAACGACATCCACGCGGCCTATCGCAAGGCGTCGCTCAAATACCACCCGGTAGGTAACACACATGCCAACACACACGAACGCGGCTTTTGCCTGGCAATGACGGTTCGCGTGTCTGTCTGGTATCGGTGCCCGTGCGTCCATGCAGGACAAGAATCCGGATCCCGATGCTGAGGACACCTTCTATCGGCTCAAGAGGGTACGTTGGGCGGGCAAGACGATGGCGAATGGTGCGGCCACGCGCAGATATGTGTGGCTGGTGTGCTTGGCGTGGTTTGTGCAGGCTCACGACATTCTGATGAACGAGAGCCAGCGAAGCAGCTACCACAGATTTGGAGACCACAATGACGGTCAGGAAGCGGACAGCAAGACAGGATAGCGAAGGAACATGGGTTCATCTCTCGGCGTGTGTGGGTGCATGGTGTGTGCAGGTCAGGTCGAGGATGCGACGGGCATGACGGTTGTGATGCTGTCGCTGGTCAACTACCTCCTCTGCTTCATACTCGGATACGTCCTCACATTCGCAAAACCGTTCCACTTCGCTAGGCAGGTACGTCGTACGTCCTCCAGCCACACCCAAGGAGAGGGCGGTCAAGGCACACGTGTATGTGATTGCGTGTGTGTGTGTGTGTGTTTGTGTGTGTGTCAGATCATCATAGTGTATCTGGTGGGATCGTTCTGTCTGGAGCTGCACATGCGGTACGTCGAGGGCGACGCCGTGCTCGACTTCATCCCTACCATGAGCCAACTACTGCCATTCGAGAAAATACTGGTGCGTGCGTGCCATCCCAGCACTCTGACAAGAAGGGTTCGCATCAACGCGCCTGTGTGTGCTTTGCTTTTGTGTGGCATGGATGGATGGATGGATGGATGTCTGCAGCTGTTGCGTCAGCTGTTCCCGTCCATTCTGTGTCTGTCGATCATCGTGTCGTCGTCCATCTATGTCGACCAGGACGCCGTCCTGCAGTACCTCCTCAAGGGCATTCTCACCACCAACCAGGCCATCGTCGTTAAAACCGCTGAATTGCAGCAGAACGCACCCGCAGGTCTGGTCAACTTACACGAAGGGGAAAAGCACACAAACATTGGAACCCCCTTGTGGCTCGATCATCAACCAGGTGGCCTGGGGATGTCTGGTCCGCTGACGTCAACGGCGGCTCGCAAGATAGCGGCCGAGCGGGCCGGGGGGATGCAGTCAGCGGCGGTGAGGTCACTGCAGGAGGGCGGCAGAACGCAGTCGACGTCCATCGGGGGAGAGGACGCACAGACACCCACCGACGCAACCAATGCCGGTGAGTCAGCGAGAGGGGGGATGGATGGATGGATGGATGAATGGACTGGTGGGCGTGATATGTGCGTGATGTGGTGTGTCTGTTCAGGTGGGGACAGTTCTAAGGCGGCACCTGCAGGGGGCGAGGGCAAGGGTAATATGTTTCGTGAGTTTGTCAACGAGCTCAGCGACGACCAGAGGCAACGACTCAATGAAATACTCGTGCAGACGGTCAGTGACACCGAACATCCTCTCTTCACACCCTCATGACCCAGGCCATATTTGTGTTGCGTATGTTTTGGCTCTCTTATCTCAGCACCAGCAACAACAGCAGCAGCCCAAGGGCGGCGGCTTCAACATCTATCAGCTGATCTTTGTGGGCGTCATCGCCTGGATATGGTTCAGCAGATCGTCATCAAGCACCGCAGGCGGCGACGTCCCATGAACAGGCAGACGGGCAGACAGAGACATCCAGGGAGACGGAGGACAGGCAGATCCATCACATCATGTGTACGGGCGTATCCATTCTGATCCATTCTGATCCATGTGCACACTGACATTTGTGATTTATGGAGGACGGACCTGTGTGTCTGAGAGCGTGCCTGTCTCGTGCCTGACCCGCGAGCCTAAGAGCTCGTGTTCGAAATGCCAGCCACCCACCCTGTCTGTCTGTCTGTCTGTCGCCATCACTGCTCGTCCCAGCTATCGTCATCTGCCTCGTCCTCCACTGCAGCAGCCGCCATGCTAGCACCAGCCATGCCGCCCTCCACACCGACCCCCGCGGCACACGGTGCTGCCACATGGCCGATGACCACCGGCTCGCTCTGCCACTGGGTCTGCCGACGCGAACACTGCACCAAAGCTGGGGCTGCCTTCCCGCCGCCCGCATCGTTGATATGCGGGCACCGCATGGGCTTCGCCTTGGGCTTGGGCAACCCCCCTCCCTTGACCGTCACCCTCACCTTTGGCGCACCCCCGCCCCCATCCCCGTCGTCATCTCCGTTGGTATCCATGCGGTAGAAGTTGTCGATCTCGTCGCCCCATATCGACTGCAGGAGCCCCTTGAACGGCAGCTGGGGCAGCCCCAGCTGCCGGCTGATGCCGTTGCGGCGGCGGACGGCCCTGCCGAGGGCGTCGACGAGCCCGGCGAAGGTCTGCTTGGACACCATCTGGGAGCCGCCCTCATACCGCTGCGTCTTGTACTCGAGCTCCACACGGAATCGGCGGTACTTTCCGTCCCACTTGATGCCCAGCCCGCCCTTGGGGCCCATGCCGCCAGCGCCCACACCGTGGCTGCGGAGCCGCTGCAGCAGGGAGCGGGCGTTGTTCGTCAGGTCCTCATTCGACAGCTGCTCGTCTGGGTGGCAAGCTGTGCACATGGATGGACAGAAGGAGAATGGATGGATGAATGGATGAATGGATGAATGGGTAGTCGGAGGACATCAGTCCGTGTGGTGTGTCTGTCACTCACCGTACTGGAGGCAGAGTTCGTCGTCGATCTGTGTGGTCTTGAGTAGCTGGGTTGCGCGCTTGGTCTCCTCCACCTCCCCTGCAAGCCGACACAATGCACATAAGTGGATGTGTACGTGTGTACCCCTTCCGCTTACCCAGCGGTTCCTCATCGATGTCTTGCTCGCTATCCTTGCCGCGACGGGGCCCATAACCGCCCGTGTGTCCGCCCCTCCCCATGCCCATGCCCATGCCGCCTATGCCGCCCCCCGTCCCTCCCACCTGGCAAGGTCCCATCCCGTCATCGACCGTGCCCTTCATCGCAGTGCCCTTCGTCGCAGTGCCCTTCGTCATGAACGGGGGCAGCGGCGGCAACCAAACGCCCCTCCCGACGCTTTTGGGCTTGGCGCACCCACCACCCTCAGGAGCGATGCCAGCGCCCCTCCCACGCCCCCCGGCACCCAAGCCGATGGCCATGTCCATGCCCATGGCGACGGACGCAATGGGGAATGGCGGCATGAAGGGTGGCCACCCAAACCGGTGCGGCAGCCCGCCGCTGAAGATGCCCGCGCCGTTTTTGCTGATGGGGGAAGCTGGAGCCTCCTCCATCTCCTCCTGCTTGATGGGCACGTCGGGCACATTGCTGCTGTTGTTGTGGCTGTTGGCTGAGGGCGGCGCGGGTGTGGCCAGGCTCTGCTGGTGCTGATGCTGTGGGTGGTGTGGGTGCATGCTGTGGCCGCCTGTGCTGTCGTCTGTCTGTTCCATGTCGTGGTCAGGCGAGCCCAGACCCAGGGTGGGCGGATGGGGACGACTGCCTGCAGTCATCAGCAACAACAAGCCGTGCACGGATGTGTGTCTATCTCGCGCCCACTAAGATCCATCTGGCTGGCTCACCACTGGGCATTAGAGGGGACGACGCGCCCACCAGGCCGTTGGGCTGCTGCTGCTGCTGTTGGTTCTGAAGCTGGCCCGGCACAAACGGAGGCGGACCCACAGAGGCCTGGATATCGTCATCACTCTCGTCCCAGCTATCGTCATCTGCCTCGTCCTCCACTGCAGCAGCCGCCATGCTAGCACCAGCCATGCCGCCCCCCACACCGACCCCCGGGGCCCGCGGTGCAGCCACATGGCCGATGACCACCGGCTCGCTCTGTCGCTGGGTCTGCCGACGCGCCACAGCCATTTAACCTCGCGTCGTTCTAATTGCGAGCTTGATCTTCAAGTTCTCTCTGCTCCTTCTTCCCCCGACCGACAAAAGGGTTGGCATTGCAAATGCACTCCTTTCCTTCATGCTGGTGACGTATTATCGTTGCCACTTCCTCTACTTCCTCCTGGCCTGTGCGGGAGCCTCCCTGTTGCTGCTGCACATAGAGGCCAAGCACAGCGGCCTCACGTGGGTGGACTCGTTCTTCATGTGCGTGTCGGCCATGAGCGGCACTGGCCTGGCGGTGGTCAGCCTCTACCGATTCACACTCGCGAGCCAGCTGTGCATCATGCTGCTGCTCTTCACCGGCGGACAGACATTCATGGCTCTGGTATGAGGTCTTTCTCAGGTGCATGCAGCGTCGTTTGTCTCTCTCTGCTTCTCTTTGTGCGTGTGAATGTGTCCACTGCATGTGCAGCCTCCTCTTCTCCTGCGCCGCTTGTGGTTCCGCCAAGCGCACAGTGTGGAGAAAGTGACGTTCCTTTCAGAGCTCTGCCTCTGGCGGCCCGTGAGGATGAAGGCACAAGAACAGGCGGCCGAGCAGCTGAGGGAGTACCGGGCTCTCGGACGGCTGACAGTCATCATCTTCTGCTATCTGATATGCTCTCTTGTGATTGGGGCAACGCTGCTCTACTTTCTGTCCCAGCCGACTCTGCGCAGGAACCCATTGCCGGTTGACCCGTTGCTCTTCGCGTGCTTCACGACAGTGGCGGCCTTCAACAATGCTGGTGGGTCACGGACCACACACAAGAGGGAGAAGGAAAGGGATGCCCGGCCCGTCTTGTTTTGTTTATCAAGGGAATTGTTGGGCTGGTTGCAGGGCTTACGCTGTTGTCCAACAACCTTGTGCTCTTTGCCAAGGACCGGGGTGTGCTTTTGGTCATCTGCTGGCTCATTGTGGGCGGACAGGTGAGACAACAAAGCCTCAATCAATCATACAATGGACGGACACAATCCATTTGTGTACATGTCTCTCTCTCTCCAGACGGGCATTCCTTTCGCTCTGCGTTTCATCCTGTGGGCCCTTCGCGGCGTCACGCGCAACAAACAGGCCCGGGAAGACCTCGACTTCCTTTGGCACCACCCACGGCAATGCAGCACACACCTGTTCCCCTCCTATGAGACGGCCCTCCTGCTGGCGACTTGGGTGACCTTCACGAGCGGAGAATTTGCTCTGTTCGTGCTGACCAATGCCGTTGGCAAGTTCCCGGGTTTCAGCAAGAGCGACGAGTGGCTGGTGGGTTTTTTTCAGAGCGTGTCGACCAGAACTGCGGGGTTCAACGCTGTGGACATTGGCCAGACCTCCACGGGGATGCTCGTGGTGTGGGTGTTTATGATGTTCGTCGCTGTATACCCATTCGAGGTTAGTGACGCTGTAACAGCGCACGGGTGCAGCAGGATTTGACGATTGTCTCCCTCTGTGTCGCGTGTGTGCGCGTGTGCGTGTGTGTGTGTGTGTGTGTGTGTGCTCTAGCTGACTCTCAGGACGAGTGCATCGATCAAGTTGCGACAAGACGCACAAAGGCGGTCCCTGGTGCTGGAGTACGCCCCTGTGCAGGTTGTGAGTGTGGCCGAGCTCGCCGCAGCGGGGGACCACCAAATGCTCACCCCCGCCCGACGGCTGATGGCCTTGTGTCTCAAGGACACGTCCATTATCTACATGTGTGTCCTCGTCATCACTCTCGCCGACAACCAAATGCTTCACCACAACCAGCTGTTCGCCGTCCTCTTTGAGGTCATCAGCGCCTATGGCACCGTCGGCCTCTCCATCAGCGACACCAACCTCGCCCTCTCCGCCTCTTTGTCGACCTTTTCGAAGCTGGTGCTGTGCTTCGTCATGCTGCTCGGCCGGCACAGAGGGCTCCCATCTCATTTCGACTCATCTGTGACACGTATCGACGCACCTCCTCCAGTGGGAGCCCTAAAGCCAGGGGTCTTTCTGGGGGGGGTCACCGGTGCTGACGAGGGAACGCCCCTGCTGCGCAGACGGCACACGGACACACTCACTGACCGGATGAGAAGAGACATCGGTGGATTTTTCCAGTGAGTACACAACACACATGAGCGTGGGAAATGCGTGCGTATGGCTGGCCTTCTGTCTGTGTGGACGTATGTGTGCCAAGGGGAGCTGACACACGTGGCGAATATATCTAGTATATGCAGACAGATGCGCCTGTGTTCTGACGGAGAGATGCGACGAGACAAATTGACTGAGGGGAGTGCATGGGGTAACATATTCGATCGGCTGTTTGACCCACACACCCCCCATCACCCAATGCTATGCAGATGGACCTGGAACCGTTCTCACACAAGTGCATTCCACGAAGCTGTCCATGCATATGGACCCGTGACTGCATATTCATGTTCGGGGTCAAGCAGGAGTGTCAGTCAGTCAGTCAGTCGACTTGTTCGAGCAGCTCCTTGAGCTTTGTTCGCGTCCCCTCGGCAACCAACGCGGTCAAGAAGACAAACTCGTCAGACTTGTCGATCAAGCGATCAAACCTTTCAGCTGAAATCGGAATGTTGTTTTCATACACGAGCTGCATAAAGCCACGCAACCATCAGCCAATACGCAGACAGACAGAAGACAGACAGAGAGAGAAATGGGGATTATGGGGCTGACTGGATAGTACGTACGTATGTCCGTTGAGCGCGAATGCCCTGCAAGTCTGAGTCCGACACTTGGTTGAGCTCTGCCACTGGGTCTCGCAGAAACAAGCCCGCTACCTCACGGCCCTACATAATTCATGTCTCAGAGACATTGCATTGCATACGAATGCATTCAGGGTGCATGCGTATCCTGCTACTATGTATTGATACCGCTCCCGCCCATTTGAGGGAGTATTGCGTGGCGCTGCCGATGGACACGATCACGGCGTCCTTGCCCTTGACGTCAAAGCATCGAAAGACCGTGTTGGTGAACCCATCATCGGCGCCCGGGTTATTGTCCTGCAGTTGGCCGGTTGTTCTTGCCGTCACTTTGCCTGTGCGGCCCTGGCCAGGAGGGGAGACAGCCAGCGCCTGCAAGGCAACAAACCTCATTCCTGACCGGCTGTCTCCGTCCTTGATTGTATTATTTGCCGTCTCGCCCACCGTCCATCGCTCGTCAGTCACCACTGAGATGACGAAGAAAAATACACGAGAAGGTAAGGGATGGAAAACACGCATAGCGATTCATGGATATACACGATATCCTTCGCCCCATTTGCCGTGTCGCTCGCTTACGCTTCAAGAGGTCCAAGGGCTCCTCGTCCAGTTCCAGCGCCGAGCCCTCATTGATCAGGACCACTGTGCCCTCTTCACACATGACAACACATCCACAGATAAATGGCTCTGTTCCGTCTGTCTGCCATGTGAATGGATGCATGCATGGATGGGGTGGATGGATACTACTTTCGTGGCTGTGTTTGTGCTCAAGGTAGTGGATCTTCCATTGGCGGCCTCCCGCGTTTTCACACGTCTTGTAGCCCTCCTTTGTAGTCACGCCATAACCTGCCGTGAGCCACAACATTGCCACAAGAGACACATGCCTGGATGCATCCATTTTGTGTGGAATGCATGTTTGTGAGCGGGTGGGCGACAGACCCTTGAGCGTGGTGAGAAGCACGACAATGATGATGATGGGCACGACGATACAGACACATGCACCAGCAGCGTTGACCATCGACCACTGCACACATGCGTCCACATAAACAAACACACGGACGCACAAGGGCGCATCCAGCCTGTCTGTCTGGATAAATGGATGGATGGATGGGTGAGGTCCACACCTACCATGCGTATCTGTTTGTCTCCCCTCGACTTGGCACAGAAGAACCCGTATATCGCACCTGCGCAGTCCACATGCACAACTCCACCGCTGTGTGGCTGTATGCCCCGCCTGACATCACTCACTCACTCACCGATACAGCAGCAAATCCCATTGCAGCAGACCGTCGACGCCGCAAACGCTCCAATCAACAGTGTCAGGTCCTGCTGCGCCTGGTTGTCAGGCGGCGCTGTGTACGTCACCCCCTGGAACTGCCCCATTGGCTGCCCCTGCACCGCCATGGGCTGCCCCTGCACCGCCATCGGCTGGCCCGCCTGGCCGTAGGGCATCCCATATTGGACAGGAGAGACCGGCGGCGGTCCCTGCTGCATCTGCAGATACGTGGGGCCACCACCGACGGGCTGAGGCTGGGGCTTGGTGGTCGTCGTCACCTGCACGCAATGTCGTGATGTCCATGTGTGGATGCCAGACAGACAGACAGACAGACAGACAGTCGGAGAGAGACTCTCAATTGAGGATTTCAATCCATCCACGACTTACGGTGATGATTTGTGGCTGCGGTCCCAGCTGTGGGTATGTAGGTTGCTGGTGGTCGGAATACGGCGGAGTCGGGCCTCCATAGGGGGGAGGTGCCGCCATGGTGGATGGATGGATGGATGGATGGGTGAACGCAGCTGACCAAGTCTTCCTTCTGGCCTCTCTTCGCGGAGAGACTGGGGGTCGGTGGGGGAGACGCGAGCTTTCGGTATGTGATGGATTTTTTGCGGCCCTCGGTACCTAACGAGGTCGTTGGATGCACAGGGGTATGAACTGAAGGCAGATCCACCAGTTCAGGCTGTGAACCACGTAATTTTCCCTCGATGTCCCTTCGTGTCTCATGCCGTATTCAACAGCACAAATCGCCGGATAGGATAAAGCGCAGAGGAGGCTCAGCCAGCACAAGGCAGGAAGTCCCTTTATGTGTGTTCGGCCACAGAGACACGCACGACGTCTGACACGTCGCATACGTGCAAAACAAACAATGTACACGCGCTAACCTCACTTATTGTATGACACACATAGCGGATCTCTTCGAGCATTCCCCTTTCGCTCTTGTGACCTCATTCTTCTGATCCATACCCTCCCTCTCTCTTTCCCTTCTCCCTCCCCTGCACAAGCAAATGCCCAGCCAACACCGTCTCTTTGGCCGCTCCACAGCCACTGGAGACTTCGACAAGGATGAATCCCCTAGCCCATGAGGCTTCTCCTCCCCTTTTGTATCTGCCTGGCCATCTGCCGCTGCGACCTTCGGGCTAACCGCAGGGGCCATCTGAGTAACGCTCTCTCTATGGACGGCCCACCTCTCCTGAGCCTCCTCGTGGTGTTGGGCCTCACTGTCGGAGACAGCCATTGGTGTGGGCGTGTTGTCGGCCGAGCTGGCCAGCAATGGGGCGGGGGAAGGGGGATTGCTGAGGGATGTCGATGTCGCCACCTGGACACGTAGTTTCCGCTTGGGCGTTGTGGGGACCTGCTGCTTGGGGCTCTTCTTGGTGTGGTGGGTGATAGTGAGTGGCGGCTCGATGTCCACTGCCACCAGGAACTGGGCATACACGGGCCGATGGTCGGACAGGCGAACACCCTTAACGGAGTCATATGCACACGGACTGCAAACAGCAGCGCATCAACGCCACCAGAGTGCATTTGCATTCTTCTTCCCCGCAGTCACAGACGCACGTACATGATTTGGTCGGGCCTGTCGCATTTTTTCCACAGTATCCTGTCGGTCCACGCAGGTACTCTCTCCTTCTTGGACGTGTCATAGTGGTCCGTCCCCTCGTCGAACTTGTAAGTGGGCGGGAACTCTATGGGCACCTCGTCCATCTGCTCGTACCACCTCACCTCATCTTCGTGTCCAATCGACACGCTGCCAGCCACAGTGCGGGAGGAAGGAATCCGCCTGATGGCCCCATGGGCCTCTGTCAATTCGTCCGCCTGGCCGCGAGACCGCCTCCGCGTGACCATCTGGGCAACACGGGAATGCTGACGAGATAGGAAGCCACCGAGCGCGGCGAAGGACGTCTTGCGGACTTTGGGTGGTCTGTGGTCGGCGGGGAACTCGGTGACGCATGAGGCCGCGTCGCTGGAGACAGCGTCAGACTCGGACGCAGAGGGGGAGCTCCAGTCGGACTGGGACGACCTGCTGGTGTCCCTCGACGGGCCGTTGCCATCTACAACCTGCAGTCGTGACGGCCCTGTCTGCTCCGATGCGTCGTGACTCCTGCTGCCATTCTTGAGCTCCCGTCCTGTCTTGGTGCTCTCTGTTCCGGCGGTGTCGTCACTGTCCCGAAAGTGCGCCCGCCGGATGCCGACCGGCGTAGACTCAGATTTCTTGTTGTCGATATCGCTCATGACGTATCCTTGCTCATCGGCTTCTGTCTCGTCGAGCTCATCGTCCGACATCGTGTCGTCGGCGTCTGTGTTGAAGTCGCCCCGCTGCTTGAGGGACGGCGTGAAGAGAGTGATGCAGTGGGGCTCGACCAGAGACTTGTTGGCGAGATTCATGCGCATGGCCACCCACTGCCGGAACCGCCGGGTGGGCTTCATCCCGAGATGCAGCAGCTGGTCGCGCCGCAGAAGCTCCTGTGTTCAAGCAGCATGTCTCGTGGTGGTGGAGACATCATTTGTCACTGACCTGCTGTCTTGCCTCTCTGAGCATGCCCTGCGCTTCGTCCCTCTTGCACAGCAGCCTGTAGTTGAAGTCGCCCAGGATAAATGTGTGGTCGAGGCATGCCTGCAGCACCCCGCCCATCCGCGGCACATGGCGGGTGGGCAAAGGCAGCTCGGACAGGATCTTGTCCATCATCTTGGTGCGCTGCACAGACGAAACCATAAGTGGCTGATGTGTGGTGGATTTGCGTGAGAGTACCTTTTCAAGGTACTTCGCGGACTGGTGCGGTGATAAGTGGCAGTTGAGAAAGAGAAGATGGGTGCGGCCAATGCGGAAAGAGATGCCAACCCCACCCTACACACACATCCGTGCACAGATGGCTGATGCACACGGTCCATTTGGTTGTGCCAGCCATGCACCACAGTCAGTCAGTCAGTCACTGACTTTGTTGCCTAACAGGTTTGCAAAGCCAGTGGCGATGTGAGCAGAGCTGAGAGGGCAGGGAGAAAGAGACAATGAATGTGTCTCTCATGTCACGTTCTGTCGTCACTCACTTGATGTCATCGAAATGTTGCCTGAGCTCCCGTCGAGCAAACACGGCCAAATGGAGTGCCTGAGTGATGGCCACTCATCCGTTGGCACAGTCGGTGTGCGCACACATAGCAAGGAAGCTACATACACACCAGCATACCTGCAGTGTGTGTGAGCGGACCAAAAAGTAGGTTTCCCCGAGCGAGTCGGCCACGAACCGCTCCCAGGAGGCCTTTGACGCATACAGAAACGACTTCTCGATCGAACGCTGATACACACACATGTACACAGAGAGAGACATGTACGTATACGTTCACACCCCCCTGTGTGCACATAACAAAAGATGCCCCACTCCACTCACCTCACACTCAGCAGTGCCCACCACATACACGTCATGCGGGATATCCGTCCGCAGGAATGTCGCCCTGATGGTGTCCGCCTCTCCGATCTCCTTGGAGCCAGTCGGGCTCTTGCCGTGCATGTTCCAGAAGCCAACGAAGAGCTTCAGCCAGAAGGCGTGCGGCCGACCAGTGGATGGACATGCCGAGTGGGCGGCGGTCGATTGGCCGGCAGTGTCCATGCTCTCGCTGGAGCTGTTTGCCGAGCACTCGGTCGCTTCCAGCACGGCGAGCTGCGCGGAGCGTCTTGGGAGGGGTACGGACGAGGTGGGCTCGGGATGGAGGAAAGGATCGCGATCAAAGCGATACCACCAGTCCTCCACGTAGCGAGGGTGCTCCTGTACATGACGACAGGCGCACTCATGACGTGTCTCACGCTCCGTGTTCGTCTTACCGCAAGGGGCGATTTGATTTCCTTTTCCGAAGCGACAGACGCAAACGACATTCGGCTCGCCGCCCGGCTTGCCGCCCGGCTCGACCGCCCACTGAGTATGCCCCCAAAGGACTTCTGCCTCTTCCCACGCCCTCCCCACCGCCTCGTCGGGCTTCGCTGGTCAGGCGAACTGGTGTCCGACCTCTCTTCTAAGCGCTCTTCGTTAAGGTTTGACACAGTAGCTGCACGCTTGCTGCGTTTGATGCTGATGCTGACCTTCCTCCGACGGCGGGAGGCCAAGACGTCATCGGACACCTGGCCCGGGAGCGATACTCGTTTGGGACGGACTGGGGTGGAGCCGTCCTTGTGTGCCGGCTGTGACTTGATTGGCCCCGCGGAGAGGCGCCTCGGCCGCACAATGCCGTCACTCGGCAGCTCCTCCTCGCTCGCCACACGCACCTGCACAGAAGAGGCGGAACATGTAATGAGGCTGCTGTCGCTTCTTGTCTCAGTCACTCCACCATGAGATGTGTCCTCGGTTCAGTGAATGTCTCCACTCTCTCAAGGCGGTTCCCCCGAACGGCAGTGAACGCCTCACTGCACAGACACGCAAACGAAACGCGGACCATGAGAATTCCCCCATAAACACACCGCCCCTCACTCGTACAGTTGTGGCGCGCTGGCCAGGGGCTGTCTGTCCCCCGTAGTTTTCCTCTTTCTCCATTCCCGGTGCTCTCCCCCACGCCCCTGCGCATGCTCGTGTGTAGGAGCGGGGCTTGAAGAACGAGGGATGTCAGCACGGGAGGAGCTGTCATCTTCATCCTGAAACGGCGTGACGCGGTTGGCGGCAGATGAGTGAGCTTTCAGCAGCCGCACCGGAAACAGCTTTGGTGCAGCCTCCATTGATGGACGGGCAGAAGGAACAGGCCCCCAAGTGCCCCCACTGGCAGGAATTCGAGTGAGCCCATTCGAAGGCTCTGCATACAGTGCGTCACCGCATTTTGTGCAGAAACGAGCGTCAGCATGCCTTCCCCCGGTTCTCCCCATCGCGATGGCGAAGCTGTTGCAGGGCCCGTCAGCCCATCGGCCGCCAACCTGACAGGCCTCACGGTCTTCAAGTACCGCCCCCCCATCACCCGCCGTGCCAATCCACAGGGCAGCGACTCAACAGTCGCCTCCCCACGCCAGCAGCCATCCCCTCGCGGCGCCAACAGGGACGACACGCAGCCTGCTGCACAAGACAAGGGCAAGGAACAGCAGCCCCAGCAGCCCCAGCAGCCCCAGCAGCCCCAGCAGCCCCAGCAGCCTCAGCAGCAGGCGGCCATCTCCGGCCCAGAGAGGGGTCAGGATGACTTTAACAGCAAGGTGTCCAAGTGGCTCAACGATGCGCTCGAGGAGATATACTACAAGGAGGAGGACAACTTCATCCTCGAGGGCATGGACATGCGTGAGCTGAGTGCTCGAGTCCGGGGGCCGCGAAAGAGAGGCACATCGCTGTACGGCATTGGCTATGACGACCTTGAAAAGATGGGCCTGCCACAGCCGGTCGTCACGCGAGTCTACCGCGCTATGTTCGTCTACTCACAGGTGCGATTGTTTCCGCACCAACACAGACACCGTCCTCTCTTGTCTCCACTCAGGGCCTTCACGCATTGCTGGAGGAAGCGACTTCCCATTGTGCCTCCCGGCCACAGGCGCTCACTGTACTGTGGCGCGTTTTCGCCCTGTTGATGGAGCGGCTGGCCGACAAGGGCGGCGCTGGGGGGCCGAGCATCGGCGAGCTGGTGGCCAAGGGGACGCAGGAGGCCATGTTGGTGCTGCAGGAGGAGTACGAGCGGCAGCTCGTGGTGGCACTCAATGAGAAGAAAATGCTCGACAGCAGATGCACACAACTGGAAATCGAAGTAAGAAAACAATAGCGGCCATGGCGATTGCCCGCCTTTTGTTGTCATCCCCAGGCGTCTCATTTGCGAGAGGACAGCGAGCGTTATGAGGCGGAGAGGGAGGCCATCGAGCGGGACCACCAAGTCACTCTGCAGAAGTACGAGCTGGAGATCCGCAAGCGCATGGACGCCGAGGTGCGCCTGCAGGACTACCGCCGGTGGCTCGACGGCACCGACGAAGAACTGCAAATCGCCAAAAAGTCTGTATGCCGATACCCACGCAGTGCCTTCCAAGAGAGACATGTGTCTGTGGGGTGTGTGCAGGCAGGCGCTGCACTACATGAACCACTCGGCAAGCCTTGAGGAGGAGATAGGTCAGCTGCAACGGCAGCTGGCCGACACCCAGGAGAGAATGATGAACCTCGAAAAGGAACTCGAGAAGTACAGACACCAAGTCAGTACACACACACACACACCCTCCCACACACACAACAAAAACGGTGACTCTCTGTGTGGTGGGCCATGAGTGCAGGCCCTGGAGTGGGTTCAGCGACAGGACAAATTCGAAAAGCAGATACAGAACCTCAAGATGGAGGCCGGTCAGCGACATATTCTCTTCAGTACAACATAGTCCATACATATTTGTTGTCTCTTGTCTCTTCTCAATCGATCGCCCAGAGCGTCGCGATCTGCTGTTCACGGCCGAGCACACACAGCGGACCCTCTTCGAGAACAAGAGCAAAAAGCTTCAGGGAGAACTCGCAGAAGCCAACAGGTACTGTATGAGCAGACAGATCGAGATCTCGTATGGGCATCATGTCTCTGTCTGTCTCTGGGTGGTGTGTGTAAGGGAGAATCGTCGCGTGACGACAGAGTTGCAGGACAAGACGATGAGGCTGGAGGACCTGGACAGGAACCTGACTACGGTCAGGGCACAGCTGGAGGAATCGGAGAGGGAGAGGACCACCGCTGTCCAGCAGGTGAACCAATGTTACAGCCTGAAAGCGATGAAGTGACCGTCGCGTACCTGTATGTGCCTTGCATGCATCAGAATAAGGAGGCCCAGGAGCAAGTGAAGGAGCTTGAGCTGACCACTGCACAGCAGAAGACCGAATTAGAGGTAAATAGATTGGTCTCGCGAAAACCCATGCGTCTCTTACCTCGTCTGTGTGCGAGTGGCTGCCTGCAGACTGCCATCAGCCAGCTGGCCGTCACCACGGACACCAACACGTAAGCACTGGACACAACACAACACAAGACGCACATATGTGCACACAAGTAACGCTGGAATGTGTGTGGGTGGTGCAGCAAGAACGAGGCCGAGCTGGCACAGACCAAGACAGACCTCACCACATACATGGTGGGCGGATGGGCGAGCAGAGCTAAGGAGATGAACCCTTGCGCCTTTGCGTTCTGGTGGTTGTGTGTTGTGCAGGTGCAAGCAGAGGAGCTGGCTGAGAAGGTTCAGCTGCTGACCAGCCAAGTCGAGGCGGAACAGATCGAGAGGAAACAACTACAGCTGGAGAAAGATGTACACACGTACACACACAAACACGTGCAGAAAGAGCAGGTGCGGCACCCGACTCGCTTGTGTATGTGTGTGTGTTGGTGTGTGGACAGGATATGCGCCATACTCTGCAGCAGGCCATTTTCGAGCGAGACTCGGCGCAAAACGCCATCAGACAGACCAAAAAGGCAACAAGAGAGAGAGAACGAACGACGCACACTAACGACGCATGTGTGTGATGTGATGTTCCCCTCAGGATCTGACAGAGGCCACCCGTCAGCGCGTCAAGGCCGAGAACATCCTCAAGAACACACAAGCGGCACTCGCAAAGGCCGAGGCCGAAGCAGCCATGGACAAGTGAGAGAGAGGCAAGGAGACGAAAACCACACTGCCCCTCTGTCTCTATGAGTGCCTGTGTGTGTGTGTGTTTTCATGTGTGCAGGAAGGTGCACCTCAAGAAGATATCGATGCTGGAGCGGCTCTTGTCCGAGGAGAAAATGTACAGAGAGACCATCGTACAGGAGCTCAGGGTCAGTCAGCATAGAGTGGATGGATGAATGAATGGATGGATGCTTGCTGGCGCCCACTCTACGTGTTTGCCAGACAGAGCGTGACGAGAAAGAGCGGCTGCAGACACAGCTTGACCAGAGCAAACAGGAGACACTCAAAATCAGCAAGGAATGGTCGGCATATTCCACACCTGCCCACACCTGCTAGACAAAGACGGAGAGAAGATCTGTTCCCTCCTGTGTGTCTGTCAGCCGTGACGCGCAGGCCGAGTCCAAGCGTCTGGCGAGCCTGCTGGAGGCCTACAAGACCAAATGTACCGACCTGCAGGAAATACTCGACAAGTCAGTCAGTGAGATGGCGAACAACCACACACACGACACTTGCCACTTTGGCGTGTGCGTATGCAGGTACTACGCGACCATCCACACGCACGAGACGGAAGTCGCCTCGCTCAAGGTGACACCAACACTTACACCACACCGGAGGAAGGGAGAAAGGTCTCATGTCCATACGTGTTTGTGTGTATCGATCAGTCGATGTTGTCGTCCGAGCGTGAGGCGTCTGAGAAGCACTTGCGTGGGATGCAGTCGGCCTTCCAGTTCCAGCTCACTGCCATGCAGGAGGCCGCTGAGACCGCCAATATGAGGTACACACACTCACACACCCCATCCATGTTTGATGTGATGTGGGTCGCGTGTGTAGGTATGAGGAGCTCTACACACTGCTGACCATCACCGACACGGCTGCCGCACTGAGAGTGAGTCAGTGGCGAATACATGCAGAGATGGAGGGGGGATCGACTAAAGAATGAATGCCCCATTCCTCTGTGTGTCCACAGGAGACGGACAAGCACATCAAGGCCGTCGAGAAGGAGAGAGACATCATCAGGGAGGAAAAGCAACAACTCGTCGTCAAGAGCGCCAAACAAGTAAGACACACATGTCTTGTGAACCACCGCTGTCGCACATGTGTGTATGTGTCAGTCGGAGGAGATCTGGGCGTTGCGCAAGGAGGTCAACGAGGGCAAGGCGCGACACAAAGACATGGACTCCCTCACCGCATCGGTCGGTACTCGGCCCACCCATCCCATCCACCGATCCACCACACTCTCCCATTCTTCTTTCCCTTCTCTCGCCAGCTTCAAGCGCAAGTGAAGGAGCAGGCCGACGAGATATCCGCCCTGCAGGAGCGGCTGCAGACCGTCAGCGACCACCGAGACGAGCTGCACGAGCGGGTCGATGCCTTCGAGGCCCTGGTGGCAGAGCAGGACGTCGCCAAGTTCCTCCGCAAGCGGGAGGCCATGGCCAACGGCATTTTCGAATTCGACGAAGATCAGAGACACGCAACCGCACAGGTAGGTACACCCCGCCACACAGTGAGACACTCATACCATTACACAAAGACCTTGGCTGTCAGTGGGACCGCTATGAGGCGGGACTACCGCCGCCGCCCACATTTGCCGAAGAGGGCGCGCAGACGGACCTCTCGTATCAGTACCTGGAGGCGAGTGGCATCCCGCGCGGCTTGGGCAGGTCGCAGCGTCTCATGCAGATCAAGAAGTACGCACACTACGTCGGCGACTCACGGGAGGGCGCGGGCGACTTCGCCATAGAATACCACTCGGTGAGAGGGTGGGCGGAGCATGTGTCAGTGTCTCTATCACATATGGGTGTTTTTGTACGCAGGTGAGTCGGCCGACCACCCCTGTTCAGATGTCTCACCCCCCCTCCCGCCCCGCCAGCTCCAAGGCGAGACCAGTGGCCCTCGCTGACACCATGTCCTCTTCCTCAGACTACCACAGGAGCAGCGCCGCAGCCCTGCCAGTCCCCTTCGACACCGACCAACTGGCCGAGTCCGCCCGCCCATCCATCCACCGCACGTCGCTCCCACGTGTGCCCCCATCGCCCGCAAGACAACAACAGCCGACGGCCGAGAGCGGTGGGCCGCCAGAGAGAACGAGTGCCGTGTCGTTCCGTGTGCCGCCTGCGAAAGCGGGCGGGGGCAGGAGGGAGCAGCGGGCGTCCCATTTTGAGGATGAGCGTGAAGACGAAGAGGAGGAGGAGGAAGGCGATGTCGGGGACTTTCAGCGGCGGAGCACGAGTGGTGTGCTGGGTACGGGGGCCAGGGGCAGACGGAATGTGCCCACACAGCTGTCCAGTGCGGCGTGGGCCGCCCAGCTGCGAAAGCGACAGAGCACTGTCAAGCTGTGAGAGAGTTGGGGGCGGCTACTGTTCTGGGCGGTCGGGCGGGCAGAGCTCTTTGTACCATTTATGTTATGTGTATGTATTACACGATGGATCGATCACTGCTCTTTCCTCTCGAGGTATGCATGCGTGGCGGTCTGTCGCGACCTGTGTGTTTCCATGCGGCAAAGGAACGTGAGAAACTTTCATTATCGTACATACCAATCAGACCATGTCCGTCTGTCTGTCTGCCTTACTACTACAAAATCGTCACACGCAATATACTGACAGCCGCCTGTCCATGCACCCAACCACTCAACCATCCACCGTCCGACCACGCACTGATTTAGCCCTCGATGTTCCTCTCGAGTATGTCCTTGAAGATGGTGGCGAAGACCTGCAGCGCCAGCAGCAGGATGATGATCAACTCCAGCCGAGACATCTGACCTGACCAATCATATCAGACGCAACACACACAGAGATCACCCACGCGTTAAGTAAGGGTGAGTTCTTGTCTTGTCCTGTGTTGGTGGTCCGGGGGGATGGGCTGACCGACCGACCGTGTTGCCTTTCTTCTCTGACGACGGTGAAGAGCTCTCCGATGTAGTCGTACCGGCTGTTGAGGATGCCGATCCGCTCCTCTATCTCGAAATACTTGTACACCTGAATGAATGAATGGACGGACACACAACAGAGTAGAGTGCTCACATGTGTTGTGTATCTTATGCGTGTGTGGTGTGTGCACCATCTCATCTGCCCACCCCACCCCACCACACCCGTGTGTAGAAGCCCTGCCACGTGTCGTTCTCCCAAAAATAGTCGGGCACACCTCGCAGACCTGCACCCATAGCCCAACATGACATGTGTGTGCACATGGGATGCGCTCCATGAAATGCTGATCTGATCCAGCTTCCCTTTCCTCACCGCTGACCACGTTGACGTCGAGCATACGCAGGAAGACCTCACACATGCGCTCCGACACCGCCCGGTCGGGCAGCTTGGTCGTGCCCCGCTCCACCATCGCCTCGGGAATCTCCCTGACACTGTCTCACACACAACACACAAACAACACAAATATGCATATATGATGACCGGTTGCCGATGTGTCTGCGTGAGTCTGTCTGTCTGTCTGTCGTCTGTGCGCACTCACCGTTGTAGGCCAGCTTCGAGCGCCTCCTCTGTTGTGTGATCGACAGGCCACCACACGCACATGCACAGCACACGACAAGCCAAGCCAAGCCATGCAAATAGCTCTCACCCCCTCTGCTATCTGCTGATCATTCCATTTATGCGTTTCCGTTTGCTTACCGAATATGGACAGTCTGACGGACTGGGCCATGGCGACGGACACCGCCACCCTCTCGTCCTTCTCGTGAGTCTGAGGAGAAGAGGAGATTAGGGAGGGAGGGACAACAGCAGCGAGTGAGACCTCCATGGGCGTGGTCCTCTGTGTCATTGGCTGAGAGTGTGTGCTGCATCTCCGCCCAAGCTAAGCTACTGCCCACCTTGAGGAAGATGCGGTCATGACGGATGCGAGAACGAGGCACCTGCACCCAGATGAATGAGTGTTCACATCAATGAAGTGGGGAGGGACACTGCCATATAGACCTGTGTGGACCGTCCGAGCGTGTCGACAAAGGCATACTCCAGCTCCTCCACACACTGCAAATGCACCAGTATCTCGCCATCTGGACGCACAGGAGGCAGGCAGCAATGCACGGACCGACCGTGCCCCCGTCTGTGTGGCGTGCGTGCGTGTCCACCACTCTTACGTACGTGCGAATTGTGAGAGGCAGTAAAGGAACTGGTGTTCGCCCGCCAGATCGTCGAAGCCCCACAGCACCACCGGACCGTTGTCAAACACAAACGCATAGGCACGCTGAATGAACCGACACACACACAGGGAGAAAAAAGGCATGCCATGGCGTCCGCGCGCGTGTGTGTGTGTCTGTGTGCATGATGCATACGTACGTCCTCTTCGTCTTCGTCAAAGGGTGTCTGTCCATTGCCATTGGGGAAGTGGATCGTCGCCGACATGTCGGCACTCATCAGCTGACGGACCAACAGACCAACAGACACAGGCAGACAGAATGGAGTGTGGAGCAGACATACAGGGTGGTTGGTTGTGCCCTTGCGTACCCTGCCCTGTCTGGCGCTGGTAGGTCTTCTCATCATGGTGTGCCGGGAGGTGGTCATCATCAAGATCGACTCCTCCATGTCCACATACTCGGCAGACAAACTGTCACACACAGAGAGAGACAGGCAATGGACACACAGTTGCGTGCGCTGCAACGGCTTTGCCTCGCCCACCCCAAGGGCGTCTCCATGATCGCCTGCAGGTCATACTTCTCAACTCGACAATGAGCAGTCACGCGCCGGAACAAACCCAACTGCCCAAACCCACCCACCCACCCACCCACCCACACACAAATGACAGACTCCATCCATCCCTCGCCCCATACCGTGCTCTCAGGTATGATGTCAATCCGATGCCTCGGCGACCGTCGGGTCGCCTGTTCGGCCCCCTTCCTGCCCTTCTGCCCACCAGCCGACCCGCCGCTCGCATCAGCACCCCACGTCCGCTGCCGCACCCACCTCGAGTGCGGCACCGCCCGCTTTTTGCCCCTGCTGGCGGGTGCTGGGGCTGACCGCTCGCGAGCCGACGGGATGGGGAGCGAAGGAGGGAGCGGCATCGGGGGGAGCGGGTCGGACGGGGAGCCGCGAAAGGCGTCGTCCATGCCGGGCTCGGAGTCCTCCCTGTCTGGCGGCTCGAGGCCTGTGACTCAGACACACACATGCGGATAAGTGGATGAGCGGACTGGCAGCAGCAACCATGCATGGCTTGTCTGCCTTGACTGACTGACTGACCTGTTGTAGAAGATGACTTGGTCGGCTCCACCCTGACGTGGTTGTGCGGCACCGTCGTCAGCGTGTTGAGCATGATGCTGCGGGAAGGGCGTCGACGGCCATCTGCCGCAGTCGCATCGGCGAAAGGAGGCGATGCTGACCTCTCCCTTGATTCCCTCCCCTGCACGGGGCTGAGGTCGCCGATACTGTTGAACTCGGCACTCAAGTCAACATTCTCGTGATCCGCGTCTACCATGATGAATCAAAACGAAAATCTCGGGCCGGAGAGAGGTCTGCGAGCTTGGCTTCTGAACCCTAGACCCTCCAAACCCTGTGGATGTTTGCTTGACATCGATCCATCCATCCATTCTATCCATTGCCCATGACTGCGTCTGACACACAGACGCTTCTCCCGCCACCCTCCCGCCTCCCTCCCGCCTCCCTCGCTCTCGCCTCTATGTCTACAAACCGCCGTCACTAACACTATACATAGTTACCGCAAAGAGATGATCTATTGCAAATGCTCTCCTGTAAGACACACACACACACACACACACACGCACGAAGGGGGAGAGAGAGAGAGAGATACACACACAGATGGGTGCGTGTGCCGCACGAAGATGGGAATACTCGCCCACCTGAGAGTGAGATAGTGGCTTCGGCCTTCCGCTTGAGGCGGCGCAGCGGCGGCAGCTTGTCCTGCGTGAGGCAGAACTGCTCTCTCTCGTCCGCCGACAGCGATCCTTTCGTGGCCAGGTTCTGCGCGAACTTTTCGAGGGCGTCGAGGCGGATCTGTGCCTTGTTGAGCATCTGTTGCTTGGCACGAGCACTCTCCTGCACACACACACACACACACACGAACAGAGTCTCTCTCTGTATGCGCCTGTCTGGCTGGCTGCAGCTGACCGCTTTGATTGCTTTGTCCAGGTAGTAGGCGGCCTCGGTCGCGTCGATCTGTATGTTGCTCCTCCGCCTCATATGAGTCCACTCGGCAGAGCTGGCTGTGGGCGGCGGGAGCAGTCCTTCGAGCACACGCACCGCAGCGGCTGCCTCATCACTGTCCCGAATCAAACGCTCTGAAATACCAACGTCCACACAATGAGATTGACAACACAAATGAGTTGTGAGATTTTGACGCCCACTGACCTGTCGGCGTCGTATTCGAGCCTCTCTGCCCCTCGTCCGGCCCATCAGCGGACGGCATGACGGCCGCAGAGGTCTCCACACCAGCACCGGCATCGGCATCAGCATCAGGAGGGTTGTCACCATCCCCAGCCACGTCAGCCACCACTGGATGAGGCGGGGCGGAGGTGTAGAAATAATGCTGCCGCCGATGGGACGGCAGCATCGGTGCTGTCTGGCCCAACAACACAACACGCAAACGCAATGAAACGCGAACAATGCAACAGGTGCGAGCTACAAAAGCGATCGCCTTCTGCGAGCTTAGCTCACCAGAGGGAGAAAGAAAGGACGACGAGAAAGAGCATTGGCACCGACGACAGATCAGCATCATGCCCTTTGTCCTCACCACAGCCACGGGCGCAGCCGGCGTGGCTGGATTGTCCGGGGCGGCAGGCGGCGTCGGGGCGGCCATGGCGTACGGCTTCGGCATGGGCGTTGTCGGCTGCCCCTTCATCGTCCTCGTGGGGGTGGTCATGGCCACCATGGTTGACGAGATCATCAAGGAAATCAAGGGTAAGAAAGATCACCCTCACTCATCGAGGAGTGAATGGGTCAAGCAACCAACACACCATAGATGCATACGGTGTTTCTTCTACCTGTGTGCGTCTTCAGGGACACGCCAGGGAGGAGGGGCTGCTGCTGCTGAGGGAGCTGCTGAGGAGGACGAGGAGGAGGCTGCCGCTGCTGAAGGTACGCATTCTTGAAGAGTATGTTCCAGGGGACAGGCAGACCTCTGATTTGTGGCTGTTTGTTTGTGTTTCTCTCGCAGATGGCCCAGCTGACATCCATGAGGCTGAGGTGTCCGCCATTCCCGACACGGCCGATGACGTTGCCCAGACCGGTTGGTATTGGCTGCTCACATCATGCATGATGTGTGGTTGCGATTGTGTGTGCCTTTCTTTGCTCAGACGGCACGGCCAAAGCCCGGGTGTGGGTGTATGGCAACGTGCATCCCACCAGCGTCACAGTGGACACCGGTACGACAGTGACAGGACAACACAACACCTGACCTCAACCCACCTGTTGTGTGTGTGTGTGTGTGTGCGCGCCCTTGCCGGTTTGTGTGTCAGTTGGCGAGTTCGTCGAGAAGTCCATCCACGACCGCCACATAGAGGTGTACGTGAAGATGCGCAGCGACATGAATGCCAGGATAGCCCACCTCGACCAGATGCTGACGGAGCAGCACCCGGCTGGTTTGGGGCAGCTGGTGCTGCACAAGAACGAGGAGATCGACCATCTTCGGCATCTGGTCGACGACCTGCGCCAAGCGGCTGGCGACCCTGGGCAGGCGGCGAGACTCCTCTGGGCCAAGGACGCCAAGCTTCGCTTCCACAGAGAGGTAATCCACCTAGCTTCGGCAACTAGAAACAACTATAGCGATGACTCATAATGAGTGGTGCTGTTTGGTGTATGTTTCAGGCGTATCTGAAGCTGGAAGCCGCCTGGTGGGCCGCACACCAGGCCGATCTGGAAAAGGAGCGGCAGCTCAAGGCCAAGACCAACGCGATCGCCGACAAAAACCTGCAAATCCGCCAACTCCAGCAGGTAGAGGCCCAGCTGCGGCAGCAGATCTGCGCTATGGAGCAGCACATCGCGGGACTGCAGCAGCAGATAGTGGCAATGCAGCCAGCGATGAAAGTACGTCTCCAAATACACACATGGACAGTCACATTCGCACCACCCTCTGTGTCTGTGTGCGTGCGTGTTGTGCGTGTGTGTGTTGTGTGCAGTACTGGGCTCAAGTTCAGACGGCGCAGCAGATGTTGCTGACACAGCAGCAACAACTGGTGAGTGAGTGAGGCGCGCATATCACTGAACGACTCACAGGCAGCACCAGAGCGGAAACGGATGGCCATCCATCGTTGTCTGTCCTGTTCTCTTCTGTCCCGTGTTGTTGTCGTTCAGGTGGGTCAGGCGGTGGCGGCGCTCCGTGAATGGGGGCCTGACGAAGACATGCCGCAGCACCCGCCTCCTCTTCCACCTAGTGCACCTTCTGCGGCGCCGACGACCCCCTTGGTGCAGCAGAGTGCGGCGGACACAACGACATCAGTGAGCAAATATAAGGCCTGGTTTTCACAGGCAGCCAGCATCACCTGCGCGTCGTTTATGTGCAGGTGGGCTACATCAGTTTGCAGCAGCAGCATCAGCAGCAGCCGTCAATGAGCCCCTCCAGCGTGGCCAGCCACCCACACACACAGGCGGGAGGGCAAACACGGTGGGGAAACTGACGGATGATGGCTGCTGCTGCTGCTGCTGGGATGACAGTGGTTTGGGAGTCTGTTTCTCGTTGGGCAGGTAGCCTGTGTGTGGGGGTGGCTGGCTACCTCCCTCCCTGTCTGTCTGCTCTCTTCTGCTTCTCGATGCGGTGCCTGACACTGAGTGAGAAAGGAGCTTCGACTGGCGGCCATCGATGAAGTGAGTAAGACTCTCTGCCTGGACTCAATCAAGGGTGTGGGCCTCCTTTCCGTTGAGCTGTGTGTCTGTCTGTAACGATGCGGGTGATAAACTGGCTGCCTGCGATTGGGAAAGGGAATCGGTTTCTTTTTTGGCACAGCCAGCTTGCCGACTGCGTGCTGCATGATGTGTCTGGCTGAGACACTCAGAAAACACACTTGAGTGCTCAACACGTGTGATTCGCGTCAACCGTGCAGATCCATTCTTCAAGTCGACCGCTGACATGTCGCCCATTTGTTCCGAGTCAGTGTGTTGCATACAGGCATCGCCCATCATATTCCTGACGTCTCTCAAGCTTGGGTCATTCGCTCATCCATGTGCCGCAACCTTACCAGCATCTCGGGCAGGCAGTCGAGGGCTGCAGTACAACAAAGAGAGACACACGGCTTGCCCCTGTGTGTCTGCCCGATTGCGTTCCTGTGTCATGTCTCACCTGCCATGACGTCAGATGGGCTTGAGTTGTGGTAGTCTGCTGTCTTGATCCACTTCTCGATGGTCACTGGGTCCACTACGCCACTCCTCATTACAGCGCTCGATGCACCGCTGCCCGATCTTCCGCTGCAAGTGTCTTGACACTATTTCCCGCAGCTCTGTGACAGCAGAACATTTCTTCATTTCGGTGCCGCCTTCTTTTTGCATTCATTTGTCACCATGACGTCTTCCACGTAAAAAGTGAGGAAGAAGATAATGATACAGAGGGCGCACATAAACGGGAGGATTACGATTCCGACGGGAAGGCAGACAAAAGTGCATACGATGTCACCCCATCGCCTCCACCGTATGTCGCCACGAATACCCTGTGCCGTGTTTGGGATGTTCACTAGAACTAGATAGAGGATGGTGGCTGGCATGAAGGCAATCGTGAAGAGGACCGCATCGATGGTGGAAGCCAGGAGCCTTGCTACGACCAGGGCAACGATCGCAGCCAGCCAGCAGCAGCTGACAAATAAGGTCCCAAGGAACCACCAGAACCCTTTGCAGCACTGGCAGAATCCACTCCCATCGCAGCTTTGCGGTGCCGCAGGCCGCCATTCTTGTGCACAGCAGCACTTGAGAAGCCGTTCGCAGAGGCGGATGAGAAAGGGGAGGAGAGGGGCGAGACATCGCAGGGGAACCGATTTGATCGCAGCTGAAAACGGATAGAGCATCCAGAGATGCACTAGTTGTCGGCCGTCACAGAAAAGCGGACTGACCGATGAGGTTGAATGGTGGCGGCAGACGCTCATGCTGTGGCATTGACAGGTACTCATTCAACACGCGAATGCGCAGTCTGCACGCAAAGGGGAAGGTCGCCATGTATTCAGCAGATGGGGACCGGAAGGTATGTGAAGGATCTCCTTTGTGTGTGTGTGTCACTGGTATTGAGGCTTCTTTGTGTTCTCAATCGCTGCATACGTCGACGCCTGACGCACACAGACACACACAAAGACAGACAGGAACACATTCAGCGTCTCGATCTGCCATGAGCGTCTCGTGTCCGTCTCACCATGATGGCGATGAGGAGATTGAGCTATTGAGGCACAAAGGAAGAGGAAACGATTCCTTTTGTGTCTCATGTCCATTGGTGTGCACAGACAGTGCTGACATACGAGTATGATGGACGACAGGACAACGTAGATGAAGAGGAGGACGGCGCCCAGTGTGTCGTGGCTCTCGATGGCGTTGTTAAGTGTGTCATTGAACTCGCCGACCGCGGCGTAGAAACTGCAGCGTTGACAAGTATCGGGCTGTTTCGTTGTACTGTGACTTATGGGCTTATCGCACATGTACGTACAGTGTGAGTGTGGCTTTGCCGTAGGTACCGAAGTACTCATGGTCTTCGTCGGACGAGAGGACGTTGAAGACGCCCGCGAAGATCAGCAGGATGTAGGCGTACAGAACCAGAAACATGCTGATGTCCGAGATCATCTTCACGACCGCGCTGACACATATGCGCACCACACAATCCACGCAGACAGACGGCTCCAAGCCTGCCTCCGCGTCCGCTCAGGTGTCTCGTGTCTCTGTGCCAGTTCCCTCACAGGATGAGTGGCCCCACGGCTTGGTGCAGGCTGGCGGTTTGTAGGAGGCGAAGCGCAGAGAGAAGCGCTATAACGATCCCCGCGCTCATTTCCGTTGTCGTCGAGTATCCCCTGAAGTGGATGACGGCGAAGGCGATGATTGATGATGAACCCGCGAAGTCGATGCAATTCCATGAGTCTGCCAGGTAAGATGCCCCGAGACGGATGGCCTATAGGGATACAGAAAGCGTACCAATGACCAAGCACGTTGTTGACCCCCGGCTCCCTCCCTCACTTGGTAGACCTCCTGGAGAATGAATCCGGCTCCAGTCGCGAGCGTGACGTAAAGCCATGCATCATTGTTCCACGCCCAGGCCCAAGCCCATACGAGCCAAAGCGATGCATCGGTGGCCCATCCGATGTATCGGGGACTGATGACGTTCTCGGCCAGATGCTTTGCCTCCGCGCCAGCGGAAGTGATCTCGCTCCACAGGGGAGTGTCACTTGCGCTCCAGAACGGGCTGTGCCCGTTGATTATCTTGATGTGAAGGAGCACAGACATGACCCTGCAGCGCAAGAGGATACATATCATGTACGTGTGTACGTATGTTTCGGCTTGCACCCGCGCTTACAAGACAAGTATCGACACCACGCGGCTGATGAAAACCATTCTGGGCTCCAAAAACACCGTGTATTCCTCGTATGACTTCTCCCAGTACTGTGTGACGAGTGACATGCAGTTGGCTGTCATAGAATTGGTCACAAGAGACAGAATGGGCCACTAGAGAATCCATTGAATACCCGAGTAGTACCTTGTTTGACCACCTCAAGCGGTTCTGCAGACTCGAGCAGCGCTAGCCATTCTTTCTCTTTGCCCTCAAGTGACCTCTTGAAGTCGTATGAAGTCGTCTCGGTGCAGAAGGTTGCCGTAAGGGACTGAACCGATTGGAAAGCAAGCGAATAAGAGCGAATGCAAAAGAAACTGATGCCGGATTTCTTCTGTTGACCTCCATCCAGGCCGCCTTGTTTTCCAGGTCACTGCAAGCACGATAGAAACAATGGCATCTATTTCTTCTTCTCCTATACTACCGCATCGTCATACTCTGTGAGGAAGTCATTTGGTCGAATCTTGATCAGTGTTCGGAAGACCGCACAGCAGCGAAGACTTTCGAGGCCCGGTGATTCGGAGCGGCTCCTCAGGAGTTCCTTCATGACGGGGAGCACTTCTGAAAGGACCAGCGGCTGCAACACTCGACGGACAGTGTATTAATCAGACTGGAGCAGCTCCATGGCCACAGCTCCAGCCAAGCCAAACATCATCACGGCAACTCTCGGGTTGTCGAGGGCAGAGGGGCGTGTGTCCCCTCTGTCAGAGTCATTGGCAGGCAGGGATCATTCAACACGTCTCTTGATAAATTTGGGTGCAGCCTACGTTGTCTTCCAACTTCAGAAGGTCTTGATTCATCCTCAACATGGCAATCACGACATCAGCATGGCCTAAATGAAAGTGAAAGAAGTACACTTGATGACTGCTACACTTGTGTCATTCGTCACTTTACGAATGACTCACGTGCTGCCCCGTGGAGAGGCGTCTCCCCGTCCTGGACGAGAACATGACAAAGACACTGCAAGATTCATGCACCAGTCGAGACGTCCTCATCTTTACGTTGCGCCGAGCTTTCAGCAGGTCGGTCCCACCCAGCTCGACAAACATCCCCACAAGATGAACCGCACCTCTTCCTGCCACCATGTGGAGAGGCGTCCTGCCGGTCTGCAGACACAGCATGAAGGTAGTCATTCGGCCAGTGAACGAAACACGTGTTGAGTGCGATACCTTATCTTTCAGACCGAGCAGGTAGTGTCTCTCTCGCAGCAGCAGCGCCTCAAACACAGCCATATCCCAACACTTCTCTGAAAAGTACAGACAGGGGCAGACAGGGGCGGCGTAGGTGCATCGCTTCTATGTAGCGATGCGACGATGCATACCTGCGGCAAGGTGGATCGCAGATCCATAGTCCACATAGTCACTGTAGCACTCTCCAGTCGTCAGCACTTTCTTCGCTTGCTCAGGCGACAGACGAAAGAGGGCGTTCCGCACGCCCTCTGCATTCGATTCATTGATGGCCTTTGTGATGTTTTCTCAGCGTTTTTGTCGTTTCGTCATCGTCGGCGGCTGGTGCACCCACCAACGGAACCTGCAGAAGAAAAACAGACGTCCAGGGCCTCTTGATTATTGTGTGACCCTGCCGCCATCTAGATCACACCAAGACAACAACGCACCTGCTCGAGCCGTCTCGGTGCCATAGGGAGCTCTTCTGCAACATCAGGCAGCTGGGGCTCCATCAGCCCCTGTTCATCGTCCGACAGAAGAGGGACATCGTCACTCGGGGCTGACGCCATCTGCAATGGGTAGAAGAAAGCGGCACAAAGAGGAAATCGAACCAGTTGACAATGCAGACTCATTGCGAGATGCCAGACGCAGGAGCGTTGCAAACGGACCTTCGGATTGGCCGTCTGCTCGTGATGGGTGGCCTCATGAAGGGCAGGGCCGCCGCCCTCCTCGACGTCTACTCTCGGCAGCTGTATGTAGCAGGCGTCACGAAGACTTTCTCTCCCTCTTTCACCCTCCTGCCCATGCAGACGTGGGGTGCGTTGCGTGTGCAAAAAGCCCCACATCCTGCACACGCGGGACAACGAACGCAGAGCGCCGCGCGCGTCTCGGTTGGCCCGCCCCCACCTGCGAAAATTCATCATGTGGCAAATTTCCCTCGCCCGTCATCCGAGCCAACAATGCTTTCTCGCGATACAGGTCGTTCCAGTGAGGTGGACAGGCTGAACTTGTGCTGCTCCACATAGATGGGCGAGTTGTCAATAGGCAGAGGATAGATAGGTACACATGGCGGGATTGCATGGAGGGCGGGCAACAGCTGTTTGCAGCTGACGATCTGTAAGTGACACCAAGATAAAGTGGCTCTACACGGCTGACTGGCACGCGCTCATGCATACATCCATGCACCATCGGGGCTGCACAACACACACAGTGGTCATTGTCGCGTCAGACAACAGGGGCTGGTCTACACAACGTGCTGACTGAGGCGGGGAAGGAGAGAAGGAGGAAAAGGGTACAAGTAACCCGCAATCCTGGCTATCCCTGCTGCTGCTGCTGCGCCTTCGCAAGCCCATCAAGACGCCTGCGGAGCGATAAGAGCAGAGATGCGAACAACGGAAAGCCATCTGGGTGTGTCTGTCCGAGTGGCTGACCTGTTAATATACTGTTCCGTTTCGAACATCATGTGTGTGCACGAGTAGATGCACTGCTGCTGCCGCATGTTCAGCTCGTTGCCGGGTGAATCCACACACTTTGAAAAGCACTTGCCCAAGATCTGCACACGACGTCAAAAACAGAAAGGAAGACCGGTCGATGGTCGAAGGTGGAAGAACAGACGATGACAAGCAGATTGATCCACACACACAATGCGTGTGTACACACACCTTCATGACGACCTTCTGCCCCTGCACCAGAGTTTCAAGCTGCATCATGGCCTGAAAGAAAGAAAGAAAGAAAGAAAGAAAGAAAGGAACGCCAGCGCCAATCATTCATGGACAAGGCGATGCCCCACATTCAGTCACCTGCGCCTTCTGTTCGGCTGTGAGCGATTCAAGACCACTCGGTGCATCCATCTTCCTCCAGATCTGCTGATGCAAAGACTTCAGAGGCCCTGTGTAGAGGCAGCGCGGCGATACCGTCAGAACACAGGCGTTGCTGGGAAGAAGCAGCTGCCGGAGCACTTAGCTCGCAGATCATCCCCGCTACGTTTTCCGGAGCACTTGGCTGTCAGGCCGCCTAGGGTGCTCCCTGACACCGCTTCTGCTGCGTTCTGGTGCCTTTTTTCTCCCATTCTCTTCTCTCCCCCGAGGCGGTGCCCCTCGATTGCCGTATCATCGATGTTGAGCTCTTCGCGTCCCGCGGCGATGGACGGCGAGTCTGAGTGGGAGTATGACGATGTAGACGACTTGGGCTACGGGCACAGCATGGGGATGTGGGGGATGGATCTGGGCATGGACATGGACATGGACATGGACGACCCTTTCATCGAGATGCAGGACGACAGTAAGGCAGACACACAGACACACAGACAGACAGACAGACAGACAGACAGGCAGCCAGCGGGCAGGCAAAGGAGAGATTGGGTGTTGTTGTTGTGTGTGCAGCCAAGTATTTGCTGGACATGGATGCCATGGAGAGGGACGCCGAGGTGCACCTCGCCAAGCAGCTCCTCAAGTGGCCGCTCATCGCTGACCCCATCGAAGGCCTCATCCTCCACGTAACCTTGCCAAGAGGAAGCAAGCACAGCCCCTTGTCCTCTCCACCTGCGTCTTGGCGTTTGTCAACTCAGGGCGAGTTGTGTCTGTACGTGTACCAGCACCGCGACGCCCTGCTGTCGGCTTTGGCTGCCCGTCGGCTGCTGGGCCGCGAGACGGCGCGCATCCAGGCCATCATGATGGTTGCCGCATACCAGCTCAACGACAAAATCACCGCTGTTGCAATCAGAGAGTGAGCGACACACATGAAAATGATACGGCCCAGACAGAAAGGTCTAAACGATGAACGCGCTGTTCGTCTGTCTGTCTGTCTGTCTGCCCATGGTTCCTTCAGCCGTTTCGACAAGGGCGGTGTCAACCAGTTGTCGGACCCCCTGCAGAAGAAGTACGAGGGCACGTGCGAGGTCATGGAGTTCTTCCCCAAATTCATGGAGGCACTGATGGCCTCCGCGGAGGCCAACAAACAGAAGCAGCAGCGCAACAAAAACAACAAAGACAACAAAACCGCCACCCAACACTCGCCATCCGACCCCTCTGCCCACCAGCCCGCATCCGCCAGCAGGACACGCACCAGCAAGAAGGCCTCGTCGTCGCGCGCCGACTCATCTTCTCATTTCCTCTTCCCAGGATCATCTAGCGGGAAGGAGCGCGGTGGATCGTCGTCCTCGGCCTCCCAGCACCAGCAGCAGCAGCGAGCCAACGACGACGCACTCATGCAGCTGTTGCTCCTGCAAGCGGCCATGCGTGCAGAGGAGGAGCGGACCAAGGGCGGCCGAGGCGGTCGCAGTGGTGGTGGTGGTGGTGGGAGGGCACAGCGCGAGAGCAGGATTATCGACGTGACCGAGGGCACACCTGCCGGCAACAAGAAGGGGTCTTCGTCGAGCGGCAGGGAGCGGGGCAGCAGCAAGCCGCAGGACGGCTTTGAGAAGCTGCTGGCGGATGCCCTGAGCGAGAAGGGCAAGAAGGGCAAGAAAAAGGCCGCTGCTCCGTCGCCATCACCGTCCCCCGCAGCATCAGCAGCACCGCCTGCAGAGACTGCCAAAGCCGAGGGCACCGCCACTCCCACCGTCTCGCCATCCACATCCGCCACCGCGACCACACACGACAAGGCCCTCTTCTCGTCCCCGTCCCTTCCCTCTCCCGAGCCCTATGAGAAGGAGTCTGAGCGTCTGACGGCCTCCACAGCAGCGGACCACAGCGGGGGCGAGACCAACAGCCACCACAGCCACCCTGACGACACCAACGGCATCATGCCCGCCCTCGCCACTCAGTCCACCGGCATCAGTGAGACAGACGGCGTGCACGTTGTGGGAGACGGCGGCGATGGTGCGGCGGGTGCTGGGGGGGCGTCTTCCAAGAGCTCGTCCAAGAAGCGGCGCCACAGGAAGAAAAAGAAGGGCGGCGAGGGTGCGGCGGGTGCTGGTGCGGGTGGGGGTGCTCAGGCGGTCCAGGGGCAGTAGACACACACATACACACACACACACATACATAGGGACGCGGCCGCCGAAATCGCGCAAATCCGAGAGGGAGAGAGAGAAAGTGAGAGGCATTGTTTGGGCTTTTACCTCCATGTCATGTATGTTGCGTGATACGTGATGTGGTGTGGTGTGGTGTGCCTGCTGTTCTTCCCACTCTGTACGTGAGTGACTTTCTGCTGTGTCTCTGATGTGATGCGCGCGTGTGTGTGTGCGCGCACCGAGCCATTCGTTTTAACGTGGCCAAGAGAGAGGGAGAGAGAGATTGTGGCCGATGCGTGCCCCCTGTGACGCAGGGCCGCACGCATGAGCTATCAGCTAGGACAGCTAGGACGCTGTACGGTGTTGGTGTTTTCAACGGTCTCGGGGGTGTCTCGTGGGTGTGAGGGAGAGATCCGACACATGTGATGTGATGTGCGAAGGCCGATGCACACGCTGCCTGGCGATCGGTGCACACACGTGCACACACACGCCTTTTTTCCGCGGATGCGTCTGTCAGTGTGTCTCGTGTGTCTCGTGTGTGCACATGAGATGGGGGGTGGGGGGAGGGAGGGAGGGAGAGGGGGGCGGGAAGAAGCATTCGATTGAGGAGTTTCTCCATCCACTCACTCACCCATTTCTATGCTATGCATCGATCCATCTCGCTGTAGTTTTAACCCCCGCAGAGGTCCGTGTAGGCCCTTCTTCGGTTGTGAGGTGGGGGACGCTATGCTGTGAGGTGGTGTGACATGTGAGAGCTGTGTGAGAGCTCAGCGGACCCGCCGCTGATGGCAGTCATCTACTCGGTCGCCCGGGGTTCATCACTCATTTGTGCGTGGGGAGGGGGGGGGGGGGG